TTTTTTTTTTTTTTTTTTTTTTTTTTTTTTTGAGATGGAGTCTTGCTATGTCACCTAGGCTAGAGTGCAGTGGCACAATCTCAGCTCACTGCAACCTCTGCCTCCCAAGTTCAAGTGATTCTCCTGCCTCAGCCTCCTGAGTAGCTAGGACTACAGGCACGCATCACCATGCCCAGCTAATTTTTTGAATTTTTAGTAGAGATGGGGTTTCACCATATTAGCTAGGATGGTCTTGATCGCCTGACCTCGTGATCCACCCGCCTTGGCCTCCCAAAGTACTGGGATCACAGGTGTGAGCCACCACACCCAGCCTAGTTTTTTGTATTTTTAGGAGAGACAGGTTTCATCATCTTGGTCAGGCTGGTCTTGAACTCCTGACCTTGTGATCCACCCGCCTCGGCCTCCCAAAGTGCTGGAATTACAGGCGTGAGCCACCTCGCCTGGCCTACTTAGAGCATTTTTAGGTTCACAGCAAAAATGAGCAGAAGGTAGAGAGAGTTCTCATACACGCCCTGTATCCACATGCACACAACCTTTCCCATCATCGACCTCCACACCAGGGTGGTACATTTCTTATAACTGGTGAATCTTCACAGATACATTATTGTCACCTAAAGGTTACAGTTAACATTTGGGGTCACTCCCTGTGTTTATATTCTATGGGGTTTTGACAAATGTGTAATGACATATTATCCTCTACAGAATAGTTTCACTGTCTTAAAAATCCTCCGTGATGTGCCCTTCAGCCCTTCCTCCACCTCACCCCTGGTCACACGAATCTTTTTACTGCCTCCATAGTTTTGCCTTTTCCACAGTGTCATATACTTGGAATCCTGTAGTATTAGCCTTTTCAGATTCCCTTTTTTCACTTAGTAATATGCATTTAAATTTCCTCCTGAAGGTATCTTTATAAAAGTCTGATTAGGCTGGTGCAGTGGCTGACGCCTGTAATCCCAGCACTTTGGGAGGCCAAGGTGGGAGGATCACTTAAGACCAAGAGTTTACGACCAGCCTGGGCAACATAGTGAGACCCTGTCTCTACAAAAATACAAACATAAAAATTAACTGGACATAGTGGTGAGCACCTGTAGTCCTAGTTACATGAGATGCTGAGGTGGGAGGATCACTTAAGCCCAGGAGTTCAAGGTTACAATGAGCTGTGACTGCACTGCAGAACTCCAGTCTGGGTGACAGAGTGAGATCCTGTCTCTTAAAAAAAAAAACAAAAAAAAAAAACCTGGGCACAGTGGCTGACACCTATAATCCCAGCACTTCAGGAGGCCAAGGCGGGCGGATGACCTGAGGTTGGGAGTTGGAGACCAGCCTGACCAACATAGAGAAACCCCGTCTCTACTAAAAATACAAAATTAGCTGGGCGTGGTGACATATGCCTGTAATCCCAGCCACTCGTGAGGCTGAGGCAGGAGAATCACTTGAACCCGGAGCGGGAGGTTGCAGTGAGCCGAGATCACACCATTGCACTTCAGCCTGAGCAATAAAAACAAAACTCCATCTCTCTTTATTTATTTATTTATTTATTTTAAAGATGGGGTTTCACCATATTGGTCAGGCTGGTCTCAAACTCCTGACCTCAGGTGATCCGCCCACCTCAGTTTCCCAGAGTGCTGGGATTACAGGCGTGAGCCACCGAGCCCAGCCACAAAACTCCATCTCATAAAAAAAAATAAAGGAAGAAAGAAAAGACCGAGCGCAGTGACTTACACCTGTAACCCCAGCACTTTGGGAAGTCGAAGCAGACAGATCACCTGAGGTCAAGAGTTCAAGACAGCCTAGCCAACATGACGAAAACCTTTCTCTACTAAAAATACAAATATTAGCCTGGCATGGTGGCATGTGCCTGTAATCCCAACTACTCAGGAGGCTGAGGCAGAAGAATCACTTGAACCCAGGAGATGGAGATTGCAGTGAGCAGAGATCATTGTGCCACTGCACTCCAGCCTTGGGCAACAAAGACTCCGTTGCAAAAAAAGAAAAGGCTGATTGTTATTTTTCTCAACTAGTACAGACATTGTATACACAATAATTACATCAGATATAGCACCATGTTTTTTTAAATAACTGATAAGTAGGAATACCCCAGTATGAAGTTCTTTCAACAAAGAATATTTTTAAAATTCATAGAATTCACTAATGCTATGCTACTTTATCTCAGCAAAGGAAATTTCTTACTAATACAGTTCTCATACAGTTCTCATCATTCCCTTTTCCTTTTTTTTTTTTTTGAGACAGAGTCTCGCTTTGTTGCCTAGGCTGGAGTGCAGTGGTGCTCTCTTGGCTTGCTGCAACCTCCACCTCCCTAGTTCAAGCAATTCTTCAGCCTCAGCCTCCCAAGTAGCTGGCATTACAGGCACCCACCACCACTCCCTGCTAATTTAAAAAAAAATTTTTAGTAGAGACAGGGTTTCACCATATTGGCCAGACTGGTCTAGAACTCCTGACCTCAGGCAATCTTCCCACCTCAGCCTCTCAAACTGCTGGGATTACAGGCGTGAGCCACTGCGCCTGGCCATTCATTCATTTTCTTCCCTCTTCCCAACCTGAAATTACACATAAAAGATGTTAGGAAACAGACATGTTTACAAGCATCACCAGCATAATTCAGTAGGGCAGATACTAGTACTGAGAGGATGGTAGAATTAATAGAGAAATATATATTTGTATTCCTTTTTGATGATTGCTTTCTTAGCCCACTTTATTACTAAAACTGGGCTTTATTACTTAGCCCATTTTTTTACTAACTCTTTTGCGTTACTAAAAAGAATTAAGGAAAAAACAAAATAGAGAAATAAGCACAGATTGTGACTAGCAAGAGTAGTGAAAGCTTTAAAAGGATTCAAGTAGTGTCATCTGTGTTGTTTTCTTGTAGGCTAGAAACGAAAGCCTCAGCAACACGTTAGTGGAACTTTCTGCTCAGGTAGGACAGTTACAAGCTCGAGAACAAGCTCTCACGACAATGATAAAGCTAAAGGTAATCAAAAATAAGAATTCCTCCATTTGCCAGAGTGCTTGGTAGTTTATATTCATATTCATTATCTTACCTAAGTCCCTAGCATCCCAGAAATGGGAAGCTACCAGTGTTGCTCTTGTTGGTTTTCTTTGTTTTGTTTTCTTTTGTTTTGAGATGGAGTCTCACACTGTTGCCCAGGCTGGAGTGCAGTGGTGCAATCTCAGCTCACTGCAACCTCCACCTCCTGAGTTCAAGCAATTCTCCTGCCTCAGCGTCCCGAGTAGCTGGGACTACAGGTGTGCGCCACCACGCCCAGCTAAATCTTGGATTTTTAGTAGAGACAGGGTTTCACCATGTTGGCCAGGGTGGTCTTGATCTCCTGACCTTGTGATCTGGCCACCTTAGCCTCCCAAAGTGCTGGGATTACAGGCGTGAGCCACTGCACCTGGCTGCTCTTGTTTTTTTTTTAAAACACCCATTTAGAAATGAAGGAAACAAGTTTAAAATGGTGTTTCCAAGGCATGAAAAAGGAGGCTGCTTCTGGTCTTCTATCTCCAAGGCCCATTTCATGGGCTAGCATATCTGAATTAACTTGTTTTCTCCCTGGGTACCTATTAGTAGTTCTCATAGAGTTATTGGCAATTAGATTGTGTGATGATTTGTCTGTGTGTGTGTGTGTGTGTGTGAGAGAGAGAGAGAGAGAGAGAGAGACAGAGTTTTGCTCTCATTGTCCAGGTTAGAGTGCAATGACACGATCTTGGCTCACCATAACTGCCTCCTGGGTTCAAGCGATTCTCCTGCCTCAGCCTCCTAAGTAGCTGGGATCACAGGCATATGCCATCACACCTGGCTAATTTTGTATTTTTAATAGAGACGGGGTTTTACCATGTTGCCCAGGCTGGTCTCAAACTGCTGGCCTCAGGTGATCCACCTGCCTCAGCCTCCCAAAGTGCTGGGATTATAGGCATGAGCCACTGCGCAAGGCTGATTTTTTTTTTAGTGGCGAGAAAAACCGTTCGCAAGCAAGCAGTTGATATAGTCACCAACATGCAATATACAACGATACCGTCTCCTGCCGTAACGTGTCTTTAACAATTGGTATTGAGGGGAACGATGTTGGTATAAAGAAATGCTCACACTAATAAATATGTGATTTTTCTCAGTACATTGTTTTGAAGTGATTGAGGCAAGTGCTCTTAAAATTAAAGAGAAAATATTAAAATCTACAGTCATGTCTTTAGTCAAGTAGTAGTCAGTTTCGTGGCTTCATCAACCTCTCTGGTTTGCATCACAGCAAACTCTGGCAAAGCTGTGAGTATGACTGAAGGTGCTGCCAAGGCAATTCCCCCCCCATTGAAACAGTGGGCGTGTTAGGAAGGCTGTGCTCCTGGAGGCTGGGCGCGGTGGGTGGCTCATGCCTGTCATCCCAGCACTTTGGGAGGCTGAGGCAGGTGGATCACTTGAGGTCAGGAGTTGAAGACCAGCCTGGCCAACATGGTGAAATGCCTGTCTCTACTAAAAATACAAAAAAGTTAGCCGGGGGTAGTGGTACTCGCTTGCAATCCCAGCTACTCTGGAGGCTGAGGTGGGAGGATTGCTGGAAGCTGGGAGGT